AAAAAAAAAATAAATCATACGTGAATAACGAACAACTCTTATATACTCTGCATATATTTCTTATCGTAATCTCGACCAATTACGAATCTTTATACCCCTGCGTGTGACTGTTTTCATGTACATACGATAATTTCAAATATACGTTTTTATTTATAAAACTATATATTTAATCCTTGCTGCGTAACACGAAGATCGTTATAGCTAATATAATATAATAATTAATCGATTATTTTAATTTAGAGATGTCGTATAAATTTTCTTAGATTTTTATTTTACTCGGTAGAAAAAACAGGAGCAAATGAAAAAGGGTTAAAACACGATTCTAAAAAAGGTTTAACACATTTCGTACGATTGTTACATACGTGCGATGTGAAGAAGTGCGAAGCGTCGTTTACGCGTCCAGCCAACCTGTCCAAGGACGATGAAACGATAAACGGCGAACGACGGATGACAAACGAGAAAGAACGAAGGACGAAGGACGGTGATGGGTTGCGAACGAATCGCAGCGTGCCCGATTGTCTCACCGCGGTAACGGTGACTACAGATTAAACTGTGGATTTTGCGAACCGCAATGCTTGTTGCGAAATTAATCCACGCAGTTCGTTATTACGACAGTTACATCGGTGGTACGTGTAATCTGACCGTGCTTTTGTTGCTGAGCACATCGAAACCACCGAACAATTCTTCTTTGTTAATGGCGTCTGTTTACGATATAAAACTGTTTGTCCGCGATAATGGCCGTCGCAATGCGCACCAATAATTATTTCGAATTACGAAATCGCGAAATGGGCTTTTACACGGAGTTACGAACTGCAATCATTCTCGCGCGTATAAACGTCGATCGAACCGCATTGCGATTGTTTCGCGAGAGAGCGAACGCGATTCGTCGCGTTCTAGCCAACCGCCATCGGGGGAAAAAAAAAAAAAAAAAAAGAAAACAAAATCATATCATAGCGATATATCACACCGCACGATTCTTTATGCATCCTTCCAAATCGAAAAGGATAGGTTATACAAACTTGAGATAACTTTCTTATAAATTCGTCGTGTTAATTCAATCGAACATTTTTTATATATATTTAATTATTATGCCAAGTGTATTATGTACACTATCATTTATATAGGTTAGGTTAATATATCAATTACTTTTTCTTACACACACGTTTAAATTATACGTATGTATTATGCAAACTG